AATAACAAGTGTAATATCCACTAAAGCAAAGCTTAAGTATATAACACCAACACGTTCTTCAGATTTCGAGTATCAAGTGAGGAAGTCTATGCCTTGTAGTGTTTCTTATAATTTTATGTGGTTGTTATTGATTAAAATGTGGGTTTCATAAATGTTGTCGCTTATGAGATGACGATGAATTGTATGTTCCGCCTATGAGACGACGATGAAATACTATGTGTTTCCGCTTACGAGACGGCGATGTATATTATCATGTTTCCGCCTATGAGACGACGATGAACTGTTATTTGTGATGCATGTTGCGATCAAGGTAATTTGTTAATTATATTGAATATCTGCATTGTATAGGATAAAGGTGGGCTAGTTGTTTTGCTCGCTCCCACAATTTACCATTTTCAAGTTGAGCAGTTCCGCATGGGCAATGAAACAATGTTTCGTAAACTTGATTGTTTGAGACTGAGTTTGTGTTTGAAGTGAATAAGATTCACCCGGGCTCCTTCAACTCGAACCGGCCTCCGTACCTGCAGAACCCAACGCCGGGGGTGGCCCCGGCGTCGGGCCTCCGATGCTTAAGTCAGTGCTCAGATCAAGAGAGAGAAAGTGTAGTAATGTAATGAGGAGAGGATAATGTGTGAATGAGGTACCTTGGCCCCCCTTTTATAGGGGGAGTGTACCTTTGTAGGCTCATTATGAGCTTGGCCCATAATCTTGGGCTTGGACGTCTTAGTGGTCTTATCTTCCAAAATGTATCCGCTTTATCCATTAAACCAGGTCCAGTATAATATCCTATATCATCTAGTCCCCCCCACTCTGGTCGAGTAAGCATAACTCGATCCAAGAGTGAAATGCCTCTTCGAGTTGTTTTCTTCAGCTTGCCACTAAGATCGAGCATCGAAAGTCGAATAACCATTGAATAACCACTGAAATATCCTCCAAATGAGCTCTGAGATCTCAAGATCGAAAACCAAAAAACCACGGAGGTCAAAAACTGAATGATCTGATATCGGGGTCGAGAACCAAAAGATTTGCCAATAAGGTCGAAAATCGAGAATCGAGAGACCATTGAGGTCGAAAACCGAGAGCCGAGACCACTGAGGTCGAAAACCGAGAGTCGAGACCGTTGAGGTCGAAAACCGAGAATCGAGACTGCTGAGGTCGAAAACCGAAAATCGAGACTGTTGAGGTCGAAAACTGAGAGTCGAGACCGTAGAGGTCGAAAATCGAGCATCGAGACCGCAGGAGGTCGAAAACCGAGAGTCGAGACTGTTGAGATCGAAAACTGAGCATCGAGACCGCAGGAGGTCAAAAACCGAGAGTCGAGACCGTTGAGGTTGAAAACCGAGAATCGAGACCGTAGAGGTCGAAAACCGAGCATCGAGACCATTGAGGTCGAAAATCGAGAGTCGAGACCGTAGAGGTCGAAAATCGAGCATCGATACCGCATGAGGTCGAAAACCGAGAGTCGAGACCGTTGAGATCAAAAACTGAGCATCGAGACCGCAGGAGGTCGAAAACCGAGAGTCGAGACCGTTGAGGTCGAAAACCGAGAATCGAGACCGTAGAGGTCGAAAACCGAGCATCGAGACCATTGAGGTCGAAAATCGAGAGTCGAGAGACCATTGAGGTCGAAAACCGAGAGTCGAGACCACTGAGGTCGAAAACCGAGAATCGAGACCGTAGAGGTCGAAAACCGAGCATCGAGACCATTGAGGTCGAAAATCGAGAGTCGAGAGACCATTAAGGTCGAAAACCAAGAGTCGAGACCACTGAGGTCGAAAACTGAGAATCGAGACCGCTGAGGTCGAAAACCGAGAATCGAGACCGCTGAG